TGGAATCTGAAGGGGGAAGAAACCTTTTTTCGTGCAGTTTGCTCTAGAGGTTCTAAAATTCGGCGTGCAGGTGAATCGTTTTCATCTTCCCGCCACGCAGTCGGGCTATAACAGAAGAAAACTAGACCCCTTAAGAGGAATATAAGATACCCCCCTTAAGGTGCGCCTGTATAATAGTGATCTTAATTACTACATCACAATTATTTGTAATGTCAGTAGTTAAGAAAATTAATATGAAGGAAAAATTTTCGACAACACAAATTAAAATGCAATTTAAGAGCAATATTTCCTTGCCTGGATTCTCACGACAGTATAAAAAGACTCAGGTACATTCTGTTCGTTAATGCTTTCATTTTAAAGTCGTTTATATTAGGCAGCAGTGTACCTTTGGATGCAAAAGCCAACTACAGTCAGCGTTCGCGTAATAAATGACCTGTGATACTAAGCCAAGTTATAAATCGGAATTCATTTTAGGATTCGTGGATAGACATGCTGACTATAATCGCCAGTTATTTAATGATGAATACTAACTAAAAAGCATCTGATACGACAGAGGCGATTAAATATTTCATCATGCATTAAGAATGTAATCTATTTACGATTTTTTCAATAAGATGATTGAAGTAGTGTAGTATGAATATTCTCATCAAACTTTTAAACTAAATTTTGATTACTTGACAAGCATAGTCGCTGATGATCAGTGTTTGGATCGTTTGGATTCTAGATCATATTCAGACGTTTTAGAAATTGGAGAAAAGCTGGATTCTATATTATAATTTTGCCTACCATTATTGTTATAAGAAAAAAATTATTTTGGCGGTTGAAAGACTGGAAAACCTCATTTTGAGTGCAAGAATACTTCTACCTATAACTGGTGGAAAAGAAAATGGAGGGCAAGAATTTTATAGCCATTACGCTTAAGAGGGGAGAACACTACATGTAGTTTCACCTGCAATCATTTTAATATATCAAAATAGGAGACTTGAAAAACAAAAAAATTTCTGATGCTAACCCCACTAGAAAGTGTCGAATCTGATTATATAAAAAGCCCAGTCTAGGAATTTTTAATATAGCCTTCATTATTTATTTATTTTTCTTATGCCTGCCAGCTTGCTGTTGTGACTGTTCTACTAATGATGACTTACGATTCGTAATTTGTCAGTCAGTGGGAAAAAAATGCTTCAACAAACTGTTAACAGATACTTCATTTCTGAACTTCAGATGAAATTACTTTAATGTTACTTTTGTTAGCGCTGGAAACTAGCATAACCATGCATTTTAAAATTAATATATTGTAAGCTTCTCAATCAACAAGTTGAAAATCACGACATCCTTGTTATGCATGACGGGTTAATTTCAGCAGGCATTCCTTGGCTTGTATCTGAGTAAACATTTTATTTATAAGATTTTAAAAATAATTTTCAAGAGTTTTACATTAACAAAATATACTGCAGGCCATTAAAATGCGGCTTGAACAATGAAAACACTGCTAAGCTTATTTTATAGATTCTGCATAATAGAAAGATGAAATCATTATAGTTTCAGATATATTGGCCAAAGAAAATGTTCAGTAATCAAAACAAAATATGGTCACTGTGACTAACAACAACCACTACTATATGGTGAAGCAATATAGTCAAAGATAGTTCCATGTAGATGCAGAAGCGAAATTCATCTAAGATGACCAGTCATGCATCTATATACGTTGTTCAACGCATCATTGCCTATGCTGAATCACTAAAGAGGCAAAATAACAGAGGTGGTACAAATAGTCCGTGATACTCAAGACGATATCTTACCACACATGCTGACTTTCTTTCCATGCTATACATCGTATTTTCTGCGATAGAGTGAGTGACGTGGCTGTACGGTATACTATGACATTCGCTCAAGATGCCTTTCTTTTTGGGCATTGGTGTATCAATAATCATTGTCAGCCTGCATGTCTCTTCCTCCGCCCTTCTTGGAATCATCAGTTCTATATTCGCATGACAAAAGTCAGTTCCACAAACGCGAGCAGCAATTCAGTGGTGCAGTCATGAGGCACTATAACGCTCAAGCGATAAATTCGGATACAAGCTGCTTTCCGTCTTTTTACTCGAAGCATACTCGACACTTCTAGTGAAAAGAAAAAAGGGAGAAACGGGATTTCATGAATGGAAAACCTGTCTTTTATTCACCTCTTTTATACTGATTCTGGGTGACGTTAACTATTCCTTGCGTATGAGTTGTACTGCTAGTAATTTTCAAACTTTACCGTACTCTGTCTACTACGCAAATTCTACATCGATCGGCTGCTTCCTTCATGATATTGCAAATTTAATGGCCAGCAATGGATCTAATAGTAACAATGAATATAACACACAAAAAAAAAAGAGCGAGTGCAATCGCTTTTTTATGATATTCTTCGAACCACTTTTAACAAAACTGTAGCATTTCAAGGCAGATAACAAGTTTCAGTTTTAATTCCTCCTAGGCTTCTTTTAGAGAGAGAAGGAAGGTTACAGAGAATCTGCTTTTTTTTTTTTTCTTCCCCTCCCCTCCTTCAGAACTTAAAACATACATTCATCTAATTGCTTTTATTTTGCTGAGCTTTTCTGACAGTAAAGACAAAAACATTTCTTAATAAAATTAAAATAATAATTAAAATATGCTAAAATTTCTAATTTTTTATTTGTATTATTCTGATAAACTATACCTACATTTTTTATAATAATACTTTGAGAATTGGATGCAGTGCTAAACTTTCCCACCAAAAATATACAGGAAACTCTTCAAATTACGACGTATTTTCTTTTATCGTATCCAACAACAGAACGAACGAAGACGAACATAACCTGCGGCATTAGAGTCAGGCGAGAAACATGTTCAGTTAACAGTAATTTAAATAGTAAACATACTTTTTTAAAGTACAGCGTTGAGGGGGTAAAAATAGATTCCGGTTTGCATAATGCTAGCGGGTCCAAATTAGACTTCACAAGAACACAACATTTCTTCATAATCAAATTCAGTTCTAAAAGTCTAGTTCCATCAGCAAGTAGTTGTGAAATGAACATAATCACCAGTTCACAGATATTAACCGATAATTAGAATTTCTAATTTGATTTATTGGATTTAGGCGAGGACATTTTCCACTCATTCTATTTGAAAGAAAGTTACAACATAAAAGGCAAAAAATCGACCTTGTGCTTCATCAGAGAAATCCTATTTCAGTTTCTTTCGTTTTATTTTTAAACCAGTTTGAGCGAATAATATTTTGCACCAATGTAAGCCATAAAAGTAATTGCAAAAACTGAAATAAGATTTATCGTCGCCACAAGAGGAAATTCAAAGCATAAAACATTTTATTTTCAAAAGCATTTTAATAATTCGCATTCAACATGCTATTCCATGCAGCAATTACGCACTGAATTCCTATCACCGCATCCAAATCAGTATTTAATGACGTTAACAAAGACGATGACATCACACGCAATTACAGTTTTCGTCTACACAGACTAAAACTCAGTTCTGCTATGTTAAGGGCCATTTCAAATTACTACGAAATCTGGAAAAGCCATAAAATGTATAATACAATCACATTGATATTTTGCGTTATTGCTACTTTAAGTTATCATTTATAGCAGTCCCGCAGTCAGAGATGTTTTGCATTCATAACTGTCTGAAATGGCTGGCGCAGAAATTTCTGGTATCGCGACAAAATCGTGCATCAAGATCTCTTGACTCGTTTCTTGCTTTTCTCTTATACATGCATAAACATATACATATATGACTTCAGAAAGTACTAAAATATCATGGTGATTTCCTATCCCACGGCTTTTCAGCATTTAAATTATTTAACTATCATAACTCTTAATAAAATGCTCACACTTGTCACATTAAAATAGTTATTTTAAAACCAAATAATCGCAATAAAATACAAAATAAATTTGAATGATACAATTGATTCTGTCAGCGCATTCAGAAATCCAGATCTAGGTAATAAATGGCATTAAAAGAAGTAGAATATACAGTAACAAATCTTGTTGTATATAGTTTTAATTGTTATTGAAGATGTAATAAATTCAATAATGCATTTTTCGAAAGCTCTCATTCCGTCTTAACTCTCAAAATACCATCAAGGAAGATTCATGTACATGTATTATTTCTTGCTTTTCATCAAGAACAACGCATTCTCTTGCTAGCGACACTAGTAACTGGAATTAATAGAAAAGGTAGAAAGGAAAACCAGAAACAGTAGATTTCACGGTCAATGCAATATGGTTATGAGTCACATTCCACATATTTTGAAAATATAGACAAATCGATTTAAAATTTTGTTTTTGCTACCAATATGCAACCAAATAGTGATCTTTTTTCATGCAAATAATAGCAAAATATAAAGGAGTTTTGCGACGCCAACTACTCTGACTTTTCAGCGCTTCAGGAATAAGGTTTAATCTGGCTTAAGATGACTCCAGAAACCCTAAACATGCCACGCGCATACCTGACGCATCTACGTATGAAACATTTTCAGAACTTAATTATCACATTTCTCACAACCTTCTGGCCGTCAAGATCCTACCGCGAGAGAATATTTTATACACTTCTCATCTCCCGGGCGACGCCCGATACATTTCTGCCACCGCTTAGATCTCATAATCCTTTACTTTCCAATATATAAGAAACCACAGACCTAAGCAACTTAAGCTGCAACACAAAACAGCGCAAATTTGTGAGGCAATCCATTTAGCCCCAAACAAAACAAAAACTCTGCATTTAAGGCCGAGATAGCAAGACCACCGAGGTAAAATGGATGTTTTGTCTATCCTCTTGATTTTGGATGAAAGATGCTCCTCTGTGAAAGGGAGTTATCAAGGCTATTACTCGCTACTCGACACGTGAGCAGCATCACAAAGGAAGCCTGCTTTACATAAATCGCGTTACCCGATACTTTGCAGGCACGGTATGGGCGGACACAGACACGGGTCCGACAGGCGCTGGTTTTATCCAGACAGACGATCGCACTCCTACTCAGGCCTAGGCATGTATCAGACATCGCTTGTGGCACACAAACGAGGGGCATGAACGATCAGATGGTGATTCCGAAGTGCCAAAAGAAAGTGGGGCAATTCGTAGTTTCTGCATGGGTAAGAAATATCAATCTTAAGATTTTTAATTTGTTCAATGGATTATTTTTTATACTGAATGAAATTTGCTGTGGCTCAACGCACGACTTACCCACCTATGTAATCTAAAAATCAGTGGTTATAAAAGACAGGCTGCTTGATAAATATTCTTATATCGAATGGAATAATTTTATATTATGACGATATTCTGCTCCATCAAAAAGCTTTAAAAATGTATAGAAGTTTATTTGCAATTACAAAAAAGAAATTACAGAATTTACTGAAATTTAATAAATGAAATAATTTAAAATTTTTTATTTCAATGAATCTAACTCGCGACTAATCATCACTGATTAAAAAACAACTGCCTAAGGATTTTAAGAAAGGCTGAGAGTGCAAAACTGGCTCACTAAAATTAAGATAGTTCTTAAAAATATCACAACAGATATGACACAATCCACAACAACACAGACTGTAGCTGTCGAATATACCAAGTTGCCTTTAAACAAAACCGAAAGAAAGAAAGGAATTCTGACAGTGTAATGTATTTTTGTAATGGAAGAAAAATTTTGTCTCAAGCTGTAACGGTAAGCCAACCTACTTACCTAATTCGCAGATCAGGCGTTTTATATGCAAAACTCTCCCCCTCTTATAGATAAAATACCTCCATACAACAGTGGTGTCTCAAATGTAAGACACTCTTATATTCCAGTTAATACAATGCATAGATACATGATTAATACACCATATAATACATATATGTTTCGATTTAAGGAGTCTTTAGTTAATTGCAGTAACCGATATTATTATTGTTTTAATCTTAACGAAAAAACTCCAACTGAAATCCAAGTTTTCTTCAGAAGAGCAACTTATTTAACTCTCCCACAAAAAATGGCAAGCATTTTGTGCTCAGAGCCTAGAAAAGTTATGATATTTGAAGATAAGTAACATGAATTCAAATATTTTAGGTTTCAAATATATATGTGTGTGTACATATACATATATATGCTGGTGACCGTATAGAGAGTTTACAATTCCCCATGGCACTGAGGCAGGTGAACAAATAGAAGGGGCGCCAAATTAGTTATTCCATCAAAAATTCAGAAATTTATTTTAAAAACTTATGATTTTTAACTTTTAATTTCGGAGTACATCAGTGAATATTAAAAGAATTTTCTGTCATAAACAATCCAGGAAAAAAAAAAAAAAAAAAAAAAAAAAACTAATAGCATTAACTTATTCTCAAAAGACATGCGCTTTCCCAGTAGAGTATTTAATATTATAATATTTTCTAACATTAAAATTTATTATTGAAAGAAACTTTAAGGAACTAATTACACTTTGTGTAACAAATTGTATAGACTAACCTTTCATAGAAAATATTATACTGCCGACATTAGTTGTTCTTTGCTGTCTCTCATTAGTTTGACTTGCGCGGGAACTGTAAGGATTGTTTCATTTAAAGTTATTTCTGAAGCAGATGCTGAAGCATTAAACAAATTGGTTATTTCTTTGTCAATTGAGATGTAAAGATATAAGGTTTCTTTAATAATTCTATTGCTTATATTAAAACAATAAAATAAATTTTTCAGTTTTAGAGAACTAAAAAAGGAGGTTTAAAATTTTGCGTAATTTCTGTTCTGGCTAATTCTAATGCAATTAGTTTATTTTGACGTAACAAATACCTTTTAAAAAATTTAGTTTTGTTCCGTTGACTCTAACGAGATCGTTAAAAACATACTTAAAGGATATGCTGCTTCTTTAAAAAAATTAAGAAATACTCGTTGCTGTGAATAAAAATGATAAACACGTGTGATAGTCGCGAACACATAGAAGTTTCTTGAGTTAATTGATGAGACGCAATAAAAGTAAATATAAAATATAAATTAAATTTTGTTAATTTTAAAATTATGCTTTTATTGTCGAGATAACATGAGACTGTTAGGGGAAAATGTGTCTGAGAAAGGAAAAGTGTCTATTATCTGAAAAAAAAAAAGTGTCTATTGGCATATTTAAATTAAATGCCACATAAATTTCTGCTCAAGCTCAAATAAACATTTCTTCGGGGGTGGATAGTTTAACTGATGAAAGATTCTGTGAATATTGAAAACTGATTTCATTGATTTATTTATTATAATGATGCTCACGATACTATATGCTTTAGAAGCGATGCTTTCGTGGAGGACATTCTGATAGAACTCTCTGATATTCAAGGTACAGAAGATTAAATGCAGTCAATCCGATCACTACAATAAACTGTTTGAAAAAGTTGCCTGTATTATCCCTCGGCCACTTATCAACGCGAACATTAATGGAAAGACCAGAAATGTAGAAATTATTCCGTAATAGTTGTTAAGACGAATTTCCGCGATCAGAAATATCTCTTTAAATGCTTAAAATGAAAGTCGCAGTGAAAGAACTATAAAATTGATTGCACATAAGAGAATTTCAACCAATGACGGAAACATGTTCGTATAATTTTAGAAATGCAAAATAGTTTCAATATAATAACCATACTCAGGTTTCATTAATATTGCAATGTACAAACGTTTAGTAAATTAAATTGAGAATTGTAATGGATTTTGATGCATTAATAACATAACTTTGGTAAAACAATATTTCAAACTTTATATAACGAAACCATAGCTCGTATTAAAGTATGTGATATTTTTCGTTTCATAACAACCCGAACTTCACAATTTTCTACAGAGCTAGCGTTGCCTAGTAAGCACAGTTAAATTCTTATCTCTTATAACTATATTGTTGTTTTCAAAGTATGACAATCCGTTGTTCTCCGTTTACTGAGACCATTAACCCTAAAAACAAATTTTACTGCGGTTGAAATGAACTGATTATGAAAGTATGTTTTTCTCACCGAAAATATCAAGTTGGCAAATATAAATTTCTGAAGAAAATTGTTTGGCGCATCTTCTCTTATGACGGAAAAGATCCAAAATCTGCGAGGAAGGAAAATGGAACGCTATAATTAGCTAAGTAAAGCGTTTACAAATGCGTTTCAAAAGAGAATCTTATTCATAGTCAAACAAAAATATCAAATTCTACGTCGAAAGAAGTTTATGGCCCGAAAATATTTTTAAAATATTTTCTTAATACTTTTTGTTTTATAATTTTTCAATTTTGACGTTATGTAAATTTCATTCTACAATAAATTTTTATTAAATTATGACAAAAAATAAAATTCAGATAATTTTTTAATGAAAATCATTCAAAAATCGAATTTTTCACAGATGGCATCGAAAAAACTCAGTGGTGCTGAATACAAAAGAAGAAAAAAATTAAGAAATAACGTTAATCAAAGCTGCGCTTTACAGTTACAAGGCTGGCTGGCAAAATGCGGAAATTCAAATGAAATAAGGAACCATTAAACTGATTAACTTCAATGATCCTCCCTCATAGCCAACAATTTCAGACAAAATAAAATTTTTCTTAATAGAACATGGACCAGATGCTGATTTCAGGGAATCTACTTCAGAGGATGGCAGAAGATTTTCCAGAGAATGATTTTTTAAGAAGTGTTCTAATGGGGAGGTAATACTTCGCAACTGGCTTATTTCTTCAAAAAGATTTATGTCGTTATTCTGTTTTCCATGCAGTCTTTTTACTAAAAGTAAGACAGATTCTACTATTTCCATATAAAAAGAGGTTTCAAAGATTGGAAAAACTTAAACCGAATTTCCAATCACAAAAATTCTATGTTTCATCGCATTGCTGATTTATCTATTATCTATTATCTATTCATCGCATTGCTGATTTATCTATTGATCGTAATGCTTATCTTCAATGGAAATGCTTTGACAAAAAAATTAAAGGATGTGGTTTCATAGATGATTCCCTCCGTAAAGCAGTAGAATCAGCAAAAGAAAAGTGATGACATGTCTTACGCGTTATATTAGACATGATTTTGTTCTGTGCAAAACACAATTTACGTCTTAGAGGTGCGCATGAAATTATTGGCAGTTCAAGTGAAGGAATGGCCTTCCATAGCCTAAGATGAAATCCAGGGTCATAATGTTTTTTTAAAAGGGCCATAAATATAGATTTTCGTTGATCACTTTCTCCCGTGTTCCGAACTCCCCAAACAAAACATTTCGAATACTCTCAGTCTCGTTTTAGATTTTTAATAATGAGTATACACACACATCTAGTTTAGTTATATTTTCAGCTAGATCTTGTTTCGTATGGAAGAACAACATATCCTGACAAAAAAAAGTAGAAGTTATTACTTTAAATTCTAGGGATTTGTGAGCGATTCCTTTACCTCTGGCTGAAGGTAAACGCTCCCATTTATATATAATTCGAACAGTTTACTACGCATTTCAGCTCTCTAAAAACATTTCAGCTACTTTAAAAGAAAGAAAAAGAAGGTATCAAAGGAGAGAGGATTTATTTAAGTGCACAATTTTCTCGTTTATTTGCAGGGAAACCTCAACAATCGTGAAAACGTAAATGCTCACAACTCTTCCAGCCCCGAGATTCCCAGATAATGATAGTAATTTAACTGTTCATGCCTGCCATTTGTTATCCTTATCAGCAGGGCAGGCAAACTACGGCGAATTCAGGCGTTCGTTTCCTCACCTTCAGAAGGAAAAATGAAACTAAATCGGCAGGTACGGTCACAGTGTATAGAAAGAGTGGAGGTAAAATTATCTGAAAATATAAACGTTTATTTACACAAAGCTAAAATGCCAGTTAAAGCGTACACACTACAGGTATATAATTTTAATCTCTTCCTTTAAACTAGGATTGGATGATGAAATCTCCGAAGTAGAAAACATTTATAATATAATAGAGCTCATTAAGGTAAAACTAAAAACATGTATACGAAATGAAAACTAAACAAAGCAGAATAACAAACGAAGATAGAATAACTGAATAAAGTTCGGGAGTTTTACAAATTTTTGATGCGGCTTAACGTCATCATCGTAAGCATCTTATATCTTTGGTAACATCTGCGAAATTATAAATGATGTTTTTAAGAAATTCCCGAGATTTAGAAAGAAGAACGGCAGTGTTCTTTAAATGATAAATATTTCATTGCTGTCATTTCGCTAAACTTCTGATAAGTTTAAGTATAAAACTTACAGAAAGCTAAAAGAAAGCATTGGAATGGTCTTATTAATTCTCGCTTCTCTTGTAGTTTTTAGCTGTTATCCTATTTCTGATGATTGGACTGGTCACTTGATGCAAGTGCCCATTCAATCAATCTAATCAATCTAACTATTAACTTTATAGTAATTCTAACTGACTTAAAAATAAAAAAACATATTGATATGTATTGTGCACTTCAACAATATTGTCCAAAAGCATTGAAAAGTTTATTAGGTTAAATCATCAGACAAAGGAATGATTTTGAATTAGTAACGGAGACATACTTGCATTTCATCGAAGATGAGAAGGTTAACACTCTCTTCCCCCCTCCTTTTAGCCCAAAGGAGCGTTAGCTCAGAAGGGTTATTAATTTCGTTTTCTCATTTTCGTCGATTCACTATAAACGGCAATTCACATTTGAAATTGTTGCCACCAAATATTATCGCCCTGTGTTATATTTAAAAAAATTAAATAATGAAGAATCTGCATAAATGTGTTTCTCCCATTGTGATAAAACAACGGTACCTAGAGCCATGAAATTCTGAATAACGTACCTCTGCGTCCGAATATGGGCATCTGGAAGCCCAAATTTGGAATTTGTTTTCTATCTATTTCATATTTTGTAAAGCATTTATGAGTTTTTGATTAATAAACTCAACGATTTCAAAGCGAGCAATGGCAACACTGTACGAAAAAAAAATTATCTCAGCGCGCTAGACTGTGTATCGGAAATTCTAAAGATACGCTCTTTTAAATATTCTGCAATATTACTGTTGCATTGAAGTATTATTGGGCCCCTTTGGGCGTAATATAAAATCTAAAACCTTTCAGTTTTTTTAATGCCATTCGATAGGAAGATTTAACATAATAAAACTTTTACACGCATTGCAGCATAAACGCTTTTTACAGCATAAGGAAGTAAAAAGGTTTCTTGTTTACAAATTATACAAAACAGATGTAATTCTTTTTTGTTCTAAATGGGGACAGGAGAAACGTAAAAGAGGTATTTTATATTAATAAACAAGTTCTGTTAATCTAGCTTCTTTGATTATCTCATTTCCAACTCAACTTTTCCAGAGGCTGTGAATACGCAACAATATTTAGAGCTATATGTGAAATAGTTAAGTAGGCTAACACATGTACTTGTAGATTTCTTGCAGCAGTTTGAATCACAGCTAGCTTACTTTAAGTTTGCTTGCAGGCTGAACATACAGTGCAATAAGTTTAATTTTGTGTTCTCAAAAATTCTAATGCCATTTATTTGGTCGGTACAGCTTTTTACTCTTTGGTTATCATTACAAGCAGACAGTTGAATGCTACTCATTGAAATGAGTAGCATTCAACTTTCATACTTTTACTTTTGATACTACACGAAGGGGTGGTTCGTTTATGTGTGGTATAAGAGAATCAAGAGACGAAATAAAATTTTCGGTCTACTTTAAACCAAATAATTAGTTCTTATATTAATATCAGTACTTAAGGGTACCGCTTGAAATTGACCGAAGATGAGAAGAACTATAGTTTCTTCTCATCTTCGGTCAAATGCAGTAATGTCTCCATTACGACTTTCAGATTATTCTTATGATTCGGAGAGAAACTTATAAATGTTTTAACAACTTTCTTTACTAATGTATGTACAGACTTCGATCTACAATAAGAATGTACTGACAGACGGAAAAGCGAAATCAGAAATACCTAAAATTAAAAGTATTTTCCAATACAATTCAGTGAATTGCAAATGATTTTAAAATAATATCCATTTTAAAAACGGCTCTACTTTTTTTTTTTAAAGAGCGAGTGGGATAAGAATGAAGCAACTTATTCCGCATGACAGAAAGATTGATATTACAGTTTTTCATGTTACCACGTTAGCAGCGATTCATTTCCTTCGAAACAATAGTAGTTTCAGTTAAATGCCAAAATCGTTTATAAAATGGCCTCTCATATAATGAAATTTTTTTAAAACAACATAGTAAAGCTTTTATAATTGAAGTGCCAAAATGCAAAACTGTTGTGTTTAAAATCGGAGGTACGATGTTGCTAAACAGTCCAATATCAAAAGCAATCGTTCATCTATAAATAAAACAATGTCAAGAGCACGGACAATTTGATACCAACCGAATTTTGAAAAAGGGACATGAAAGAGAAAGAAAAAAAATCAGGGAAATGGTTAAATAAAAGTTACTCAAGGAATTCGACATTTCTTTCAATTAAATTGTTCAAAAACTGGAGATGTCAAAATCAGGTTTTCGACGAATTAAAGAAAATTTGACATTAAACCGAAAACGTATTAGTAACAATGAATTATATCCTATGTTTAATCTTGCTATCAGTGATGGCATCAGGCAGTGCCATTCATTATCCCATGACTATATCTTGGTGAATTTGAGGATAAAGGCTAAGGAGAAATTAGCAACGAAATTAAGGATATTGTTACGAACTTTGTGTATACCTAAATAATTTTAATGAAATTGTAGTATCTTTTGTATAATGTAACGCGAAATGCCTCACAAAATGCAAAGTTCCGAAAAAATAAGGTTACAGCGGCAAATCCATTTAACATTGAAGTAAATGGTTATCTCACTAAATTGGTGATAACCAAGCTGGAGCAGTTTTCGCGACTAATGTGTGTCACCCAATTTAGAGAAAAGTCGCCAAAAGTCGTCAAATTTTGTGACCATTTGGCGACATATAGCTGTTATTGATCCCCATATGTAATAACTGCATCTACCGCATAAGCCCTCCTATACCCGCATCTGGCCATCACATGTAACTTTGACCGTACATGCTTTAAAATAATTTCGAGAAATTGAAGATACTGGGAAATTCTCGGCGGCCTAAGAAAATTATATAAGATCGGAGAGAGCATCAATTTTCAGTTTTTAGTTCACAGCTGACGTCGGAGTACTGAGCTCCATGCAAGATTCGCTGTTTGGATGCGCTTCGCATTGCGCATTGTGTTTATTACTAGTCTGAAGTAATAACTACTGATTGTACTCTGTCCTACTGAAAACAGCTGTACGAGTATTTTGTTAGTGGAAAGTTCCAGAATTATAAAGTGTTTCTTTAGGGAAAATAAGTTTTATCAAGCTATTATCAGTTCTGTGTACATTCAATCCATTACGAACCACTACGTAAATAACAATATGTTACATGGCATGCCACAGGTCAAGCGGAAGCTTCTAAACCATTCTTATTTTAGAGAAGTGCAAATGATTTTGTTTATTTAAATCACAGTAGTATTAGAAAAGTTTGATTCCTTTCGTTAGAAGACAGCATTAGAATGAAGTTATTTATTAGATACATGGTATTATACAAAATATATTGTCAAGTATTCGAACAACCAGTTTGTGTCAAATTCAAGAGACTTCATTTTCGACTATTGAGGTGTGAATTTAAAAAAAAAAAAAACTATACTACCGTGTATGAGAAGAGCTACAGCAAATATTCGTGAATATAGGCCAAAAAGAAATTTACCCAGCAATTTATATATGCACATTAAAAAAGAATTAATTTAATAATATTCTGATGTACGTTTCAATTTTACATGAATAACAGTATTAACGTTAAGAAAATCTCAAATTTGTCTTATTCTTTTTCTAAGAAGCTCTTTAGAGCATTAGCATTAAGCACTTAAAGCTTTAGAAGGAGCATTTTTTTATTACGATTGCATACAATCTCATAATTTTAATTCAGAATTCTAAAAATTTTACAAAATGAAAAGACTTGTTACATAGGCTAAACACGATTATAAACGACGAGTAGCATTTAATTTAAATTTCATGGACACCGTTTAAACATCTTCCAATCACGAAAGCGACAGAAGTTACGCATCATAGGAGCCAAAATAATCAGGTGAATTAGTTACCATGCAGTGATCTTATTCTAATTATATACCTTAACTGAAAATTACATGGATAATTTCTTCATCCAATTATTATTTTTTTTAATGTCATTTCCTTCCCCTCCACAGTCTTAAAATAAATGTTTTGTTAAATACAAATTCAAAATAAATTAAAAGTTGATTTCTTACTATAAATTTTTATGTTTTGTTAAATATATATACAATACGCAGCGTTACTTTATATTTTTTCTCTTATAATATAATTAATATTATTTTCTTTCATTTCAGATCTCGAGTACTTCCCCAGAAATTCATTTTAAAGTAACCCTAAAGAATTTACACAAATTACAAGGTGTCACAAGGCGGGAAGGAAAAAAAACTAAAACATTTGACGTAGCGAAATATATTTCGAGGTCTTTTGATCAGATGTTCAACTGACCCTTCACTTGAACATCCGTTCAAATATCAAGGGAAGAAACTATTTCGACATGTTCCTCAACGTATAGTTTACTCGAAAGTCACGATGAATAATATAAAATTTCTTCATTATCACAAACGATTTAATAGTAATATGTGATTTAATAGTATTATGCATGTAATTCTCTAAAACGAGATACAATTTGTTCTACAGGATTTCGGGGAAATTTTTTGTAGAATCAACCAAGATGCAACAGCATAAAACAGTGTTTGATAGATCACTATCATATTTTTAAGTCTCTAAGAAATTACTGTACTAGGAGCTAATCTCGAGTTATCGACAAGATGTATTTCCCAGATAATGAGTATGCACTCTGTCTGATGAATAAAGGAAGCGGTAGAAAGTTACTACAATACAGGAATTCATCAAATCTTTGCCATGATGCTAATCGTATCAGCTCTTTTGAATGGAGAACGTACAAAACATCCCCATCCTTCTTAATTTCCACGTTCTGAGAAATGTTTTTTCTAGGTTGCTTACGAAGTAAAACAAATAATTAGAAGTGTGATATTTTGGTAGATTACATGTATGATGACGTTATCTAAGAACGATGACATGAACCGGTAAATTAGTACATGCGGTTTGAGGAGTAGAATCGCAACAAAAGAAAAAAAGATTGAGTGATTGTCATTTGAAGCACGTCTTCTGTAGCCTTGCTTCAAATCTTTGAGAAAAACTTAGTCCCCCCCCCCCAACTGGATAAAACCGAGAACTAACAAATTACAACATTTCATTATGAGAAAAAGAAATCTTCACGACGGCAGTAGTGCAAAAAAAGCAGTCTGTTTTCCAATAACTATCATTTTTGTATACGGGGTAAAAAAGTAAGAAGAATTTAAGTAAAAGAAGTATGAAGAAGAATTTACTTTTGGCTTTTAGTAACATCTACATATTCATCAAATTCCGAGTAGTTAAAATACTCACGTTATTTGATGCTGTAATTTTGAATTAAATCCTTATTTCATAAAATTCCAATTTTCAGTTTTTCTTTCTCGTGCAAACAACGATATTTAGTTGGACCTACGACAGGTAGATTCCGCTTAGTTGCAAGGACTAAACTGGAAAAGCATTTAACAAGGATTAAATTGGAAAAGCATTTAGCATTTCGTAAGGAAATATATTTTCAGTACTTTTTTAATTTTAGACACCCCTTTTAGTTTTTGAATGGATAAATAGAAGAATAGATTATACAGAGAGCCATGAGCGTCTCACGGCTCTCAAATTCATCATGTGTAGAGATAACTACTTTTTCAGTTACCACAAAATATCAAGCTTGTTCAGTTACCACAAAAGCATCACGACAAGTTGAATGCCCTTATTCTGAAATCTAAAATTCCAAATTCTAAGAGTACACATGATATCGTATAAGCATCAACCCACCACGTGAAATATTCTTTTTACGATAGAGAACTTATGTACGAATAAACGATTACTTACCATATAAATTCAAGAGTCAAGAACGATGGTGATGGCAAACAGCGACAGACTACTCACACAGTTAAGCAACAATAATTTACCAGCAGGTTATATAAATAGCATGTATAGGAAACATAAAAAAAACTTAATATACTAAAACACTTATGGTTACAAGCATTTCAAGTAAAGAATATCTAATTTACAGGTGTTTGACCGGTGGGCGCTTTACGAAATGGAACCTTTGCAACGTAACAGGAAGAGGTTCGGTTTATTTGATTATGGCAAAGCATACAAGGGCTTTTCATGGAGGACTTTCTAAGGGCAACTGGCTCATATCCACTCATATCATTGATTAGACATGAGGAAAACTACGAAAATGCCCATGCAGGCAGCGTGTTTGCCTGGAATCGAACCCAGGTTGAACTGTTAGTTTTCAGCGAATTTACCCCTAAACTACGTATCAGGAAGAGAATGCCTTGTGGGAAGCTTTCAGAAAGAAACTAACTTTCACACAGATGGGGACAACCATGAAGATGCTACGCACTGAGTCCATCATTCTCAGGAAGCTGAACCGGAGACCTACCACCAAAATTTAATCGAGTTATGATTTTGACTACGCATGGGTGCCACTTAGTTAACAATAAAAAATGGAATATGATATGGTATGAAAACATTACTACCACTTGAATTCAGAGACTATGGAACTTCCAACCTCCAGTTTGATTAAAAACAGAAACCAAACACAGGTCAAACGGAAATTTTTACATTACATTTCAAGGTAAACATGTCAGGAAGAACGGAGGGCAAGAGACAAACGTATGACGAACACACGACAATTTGCAGTCTTTTGTTCTTCGTTCCATCAGCAAGGTCCCCCAAAATGCAAATGATTTCACTGCTTAATTTATAGCGAACAACTACAACAGCTTTCATTGTTACAATCAAATGAGAAAGGATAGAAATTCATAAATATTTATGTACGTAACACGGTTTGCTTTCTAGAAGCTAGAATAATGTATTTAGTTATTTGTAAGTTAGACTTCACTAACTTGCCTAAAACAATAAGATGGTAAACTTTGGGCCACAAAGTGAAATAGCCGGGAATATCAAAATCATTTTCTTTTTTGTGGCACAATATAAAGCGTTAAAAAATGCTATATGAATGAAAGGCACACTTAAAAATGAAAACAGTCCAGATGCAATTCAATCCAGTATGATTCACGAAGTGAAGATTCTTGAAATACTAGAAATATGAAGAGCGATACAGTATGCATCTGCAGTGCGCAGCTGATAGAATGTAAAAGGGCAAGTGCGACGAATGACACGCATTTACAACTGCGTGACGGCTTGGATACACGAAATTGTAACGAACGATGCCTTCAAGACGTACTTAATGGCGTTACGAACAATTGTCAGACTTTGAGAGGTGTCGCATCATTGGGCTAAAAGAGGCTGGTTAGTCGAACAGGCTGATCGATCGGCATATTGGTTGAAGCGAAATGGTCGTTACCTGTTGATGGAATCAGTGGCTCAGCGAATGCATAGCGGTGGCTTGGACATACCCGGGCCACCAATGTCCGTGATGATCGCGCTATTAGAACAGCTGCCACCTCTGCACCAACAGTTACGTTATTATTGATTCAACGGTATTTGCCAACTCGCAGGAATCCTGCGATTCGCAGGGAGATAAGGATACGTATTCGCAGAAGGATACGTATTCGCAGGGAGATAAGGATACGTATTCGTAAGGGATACGATTCGCAGAAGACAACTTGATGTTGGGCTCAGATCTCAACGCGCTCTCGCTGAAGGCAATGTCCGATTAGAGAAACGTGATCTTCAGCGACGAATCACGCTTTTCTCTCAATGCTGATGACCGCCGCATACATGTCTGGAGAAAGGTGAGAGGTCCAATGTACTATTTGTTACTGAGCGGCACACAGTCAGAACACAGAGTGTAACAGTCTGGGAAGAGATCAGCTGGGACAGCCGTTCATCGTTAGTCGTGCTGCAAAGTGCTTTGACTGCTCGCAGGTACGTTGACGACACTTCGCTGCCGATCGTACTGGCTATGCTAGCAGGGCGTCCAGATTCTGTTTTCCAGCAGGAAAATGTTCGGCCACATACAGCACGACTTTCTCAACAATGTCTTTGACGTGATAATGTCCTCGATTGGCCTTGCCAGTTCTCCAGACCTGTTGCTTATTGAACATGCTTCGGATATGTTGGGCAGGCAGATTTAGCCGTGTACAAATACGTTCCTAGCACGCTGATCAAGTGCTCCATTTGTGGCACAGTCTACCGCATAGGAACACTGGCAACTTAATAAACACTACGCCCAACAAGCATCGGCTTTTATAACTGCCAGGAGCGGCTTTACCACCTAATGGTTTTCCCATTTTTTTTAAAAAATGCTACTCATAAATAAAACGCTTTTTTCATCTCGATTTTTGGTCATTTCTTTAACTACTTGAACACTACACTACTGCCGAGTTTTGTAGTTGTGATTCAATTCTTTCTGGGTGCATGTTTTTTTTTGGCAGCACAGTGTATTTACATTTGAAATAGTAATAATAATTAACAAAATAATTACACTTCAGAGTGTATAAAGTTTACACAAACAATTTAGATGCAAATACCGCAATAAAAACGTAGTAAGGACATTGCTCTTATACGTATGATTGATAGTAATGCTCCCGATACAAAATAAATAGCTATGATTTTAAACTGTGCTACCGTGTTATGAATTTTGTATGCATGTAAATAATTTTAATGAAATTATGTGTAAATTGCAAGTATCTCTTGTACAATGTAGATGAAAGACACCAGAATACGAAGCATTGCAGCAAAAATAGGGTTACGGGGTTTTTCTATTGCTGGATTCTCGCTTGTAAGCGGGAATTGTGATGGCCCTTTCTGTTTTCAAATTATGTTATTCTTTGCACTATTACTGGAAGTATATGGGGCAAAAGCCATTGGTTTCGTTCCCCCCTTCAAAAGCACTATAATTTCCTATATTCAAGAGTCATCTCGAAGCCTAAGGATTCCTTTTCTGTGCAGATAAAAATAATTACAGACAGGATGGACTTGCAGATCATGGTGGTGGCCTAGTGAATCCAGTGCTGTAACTAGAGGAAAGGTGGTAAATTTCATGTAGCACATTTTTGTGTGAAACGCTATTTTATAGGGTCTGGAGGTCATGTGGGTTGTCGGGGAACATAAAGAAATAATGAAATTCTAAACTGCTACATGGAATCAAATTGGGAGAAAAAATAGTTTTTATTCTAAATAAAATATTCAAAGAAATCACATCGAGATTTAAACAGCTATATTCTTCTGTTATAATTTTTTTATTCGTCGAAACTTCTGAGTGAAAATTAAGAATATCAACTAAATCATGATCACGGTGACATTAACAAGTATATACCTCTCGTTAAGAGATTTCAGAATTTTATCTGTTATTGCCAGATTAAAAAGAAACAGAAACGTAGAAGGGCAGTTCTTTTAAATTTTCGAAGTTTTTTCTGAAATATTATACAATAGAACAAAGTTTCAGATATTGTAATATTATTGCGAACTTTCCTCATAATAGCTAATGCTAGTTGTAAGAAGAGTTTTCTTAGTAAAAATTATTTAAAAAGTATTTAAGAATTATAAATGCTTAATATATTAAATCTATCGAAACTGTCTACATGTCAGCAACTGGAGCAACTGAATAGGCCTCAATGATGTCATCAATTGGTTGGCAAATTAAAAAACAAGCAAAATAATAATATAATTTTAAAATGTTGGAATTTAAATTTTTCTTCAAAAATAAAACACAGTTAAAATTTATTTCCATATATGTCCATTATGACATTTTTTTAATTATTTGTTTGCATATCAAAAGATGAGACAAAATCAGGAACTGCCCCGGCCGGCAAAAGCTCTAAATGAGCCAATGAGGAGTATCATTTACAGAGATTTACCGACAGTGAATATCCATATTCCTTACTGCCAAAGTAACTTTGTTGAAACAATTAAGGTTTGGGTCAATGGGAGAATGGCTGCGATTACTATAATACGTACTACACTAGCGGAAAATTTGATGAGGACTAGTTTAATAAACTCGTAAGACAAAACAGTTGGTATTTTCGAATCTTGTTTTCGATGGTAACTTTGTTTCATTTAGTGATCAGGACAATACCTGATACGTGTGTGTGTGTGTGTACACATACGTATATCAGCATATATGTATAAAAATAAGTCATTCTGAACAACATTATTACCTTTCTTATCAAAAATACCCTTTGTTTTATAAAAAAATAACATCATCTCACATATTTTTATGAAATAATTCTCCATGTCTACTACTTTAAATATCAAGGATATCTCAGTGACTATCAATCGTCTGTTTGGTGAAGTTAAAATAAATGTAAGAGTAAGGTTCATTTTGAAACATATTAAATTTAATGAGTTATATTAAGAGTTTAGATCTTAAGTGTAAAGATATAGCGTCAAATTTCAGATAATTATTAAAAATGACAGAAAAACTGTTTAATTTTTATTTGCTTGTAAGAGTTTCTTTGGAAGATTTCACAAAATATTTAATATAATAGCTTAATATTCTTGGGGGCATTTCTATAAGAGGAACACGACTGTCTGAAAGAAGGGATGTGCCAAAAGCTTATCCTAAGTTCTATCGTTATTCCAATGACAACTGCAAGCTCCAACAGCAAAACGTTGGTATTTCGAATCGTGTTTCGCTGGTAATTGTTTCATTATAATTTTCCCTAGTATAAATAATCTAGCATCCTATTACAAATGATAAAAATAAGTTCATTTAGAAAACATATGATATTATCGAAAATACCTCTTTTTTTATTCAAAATAATCCATCCTACTAAGCTATCTGGTTGTTTAATGTCTCCTTAAAGGTGCAATAATATCATCCCTATTTATTGTTTCATAATGGCAGGATTTAACCCGCGAAATTTCATTCAATTTAATGAATAAATTTGTTGAGATATTTCGGTAAATTTCGATTTAAGGCTTAAAAAACAGTCTGTTTATAAATAGAGTTTCTTTATTAAAAATTTTCGATATCGATTAAATTTGCGGCCATTTTTCGTGACTAGTCTCACTGATTAGTTTGTTTAAAAAATCGTTCTGGCGTTGATGAGGAATAGATATAAAGAAGTACTCACCCAAGTCACATTCAAATCAATCCGTAAAGGATAAATCATGGATGTTTTATGATTAGGGAGAAATTATTCCAAATGACATTAACTGCAAGCTCCAGGAAAACAGCCATTAGAACATTTACCATAGAAAAGAGATCTTGGACTTGAAATCAATAAACGGAGCTCAGATTATTATACATATATCACCAAAGCCTTCAAAATGGGTTTATAATAAGCAGGTAATTTATTGCGGGGGAGGGTTTAGTGGAATTATTCAAGAAGAATTGTTATAGGAAAAATGGGTTTATTTCATTACACGTTGGGAAAACAATAAGACATTCATTCAACCAGCCATCGTTTGGCAGTAGATTTCAGAACGAACTACCAGTGATCTTTTAGCCTAACCTGTTTGACCGCTGGCAGATAGAAATAGATTTTAGATTTTTTGAAAATGCAACTTTCTGTAAAAATCTTAATGAATTTTTTAAAAATATTTATGTCATTAAAATTAAATAGGCCACATAATTTCCTGAAGTATAAATAATCGCAAGCATCCTCCATGCTTACAACTGAAAATTTTGATTAAGATCTTAGAAAATTCGAGCGAATATTTTCCGATCAAAAGAAAAAGATTCATATTTGTCCTCTACATAAAAGGCAATAAAAAGTAGTAAAAAAGGAAATCCTTCCCCACATGGTGCTTTTATCTATAAATAATTATAAGCACTCCACTTTCATATTGGCAAATCATAATCGACGACCTTCATTCCTCAAATCGAAAACAGAAACATCGATCGTGCCGTGCGATTTAAGGAAGACAATAGAATTGGTAAAAGAGAGAATGAGAAATAACCCGAGACTTATATCATAAACAATTTGTTCAGCTGTGCCAATTAAAGGGCACATTTCGAGTGCTCACTGCAAGGAGTGGCCTTTCGCATTCCCTATATTTCTGTTTGATTGTAAGAGGCAAGGCCTTGTGTATAAAATTATTTATAATCCAAGATATTATTGCTGTAAAACTGAACACACATAACTCAAGCTAGCAAACAATTACGCAAAAGGTGAACCCGATTTTAAACAGAACGTGATTTTCTACGGCTATAAAGAACGGATCTCTTTATAGGTTGTTCTTGGGTAGACGTAGAAATTGAATCAATTATTGGTATTCATTTAATGGCCACTATATCCGCCACAGCAGCATCCATCAAAATATCGTACTGTTGCGTCAACTGAATATGGGAACTATATGACAAATAAGGAAATGAGCTGGTTAATAATGTTTTCCAAATGGTATGCAACAGGAATTTTGCTCATGAATCTACTGGGAGTGACCGAAGTAAAAAGTCAATAAATTCAAGTGTGCAATTAATTAACTACGCAAATCAAAACAGATTTATATTTATTTGCAATCAGTACCTGTGTTGCCGATGACACAGAATGTCTGTTTCTTGTGACTAAGCTTACTATTTCAGCATTTTATTTATTTACTAACATACTGTCCATTAAAAAATCACGGAGCTAAAGATCAAAAACTTTTTTTTATCGAATACGATGTTTACTAACTAATGTATTTTTTGGGATTCATATGCTGAGAATAGAGAAAAAATGCGCAATTATTCTCCAAATCAGAAAGGTTTATTAAAAAGAATAACAATTCAAATTTTACAGAAATGACCACATTATAGCAAAATATGCGATGTTTCATAGATGATTGTTTCCTACCAAAATACGACACACTCGTGTAAATCATGAGTCACCCATAAAGTTACCAAATTCCTATCAATCTAGGTTATTGATTTCTAAGTTAAGTGGCATATAGCAAAATATTCCATTTTCAGTACGTTTTGCATGTATGTGAATCATGTGTTACTCTCCTATAAAATCCGAAATTAAGGTATTGAGCGCTTCGAGTGTTTTTTAATAGGACATCGGAAATTGGAATATTTTTCGGGAGGGGTATATTATTTTCCTTCCATTAAAAAAAAGGTGTATATTTTTTTTTAAGTGGCTCCTACGTAAAGGGAACAAAAACACAAATAAAAAGAGAGTTTCACTGAATAAGAATTTTTTTTTTTTTTTTTTTTTTGTTTAAAGAAAAATATTGCAAGAATCACGCCTGCAAACAACAACACAAAAAAAAAAAAAAAAAAAAAAAAAAAAAAAAAAAAAAAAAATCAAACACAGACAAACCGAATAAAAAGGTTAGGAAAACAATAGGTCGCGCATTTTTTTCAATTTTTTTTAAAGTGGTAAATAACAAAAAAATGGAGGTGTAGCAAA